TGTATTAAACAATAAGTTTTTGACTTGAATTATCATATTTTGTTCTTTTTTTTATGCAACTTAGAATGACAAACAAGCTGACTGTCCACTTGATGGAAAGTGGTAAACGTCGCATATAGATGTTCTTTCACTTCTTTTTTTTTTTGCCTTAATCTATATATGTTTTTATAATCAAATTACCTTTCTGTAGACACCGTGTTTCTATACCAGCTTACAGTCCTTTCGTTCGCACAGACCGAAATGGAACTCAGAATGAAACCGTGACCGGTATTATAGTGTGAATCTAGCATTAGGGATCCTACCAATTAGTGGTTATTTGATTACAATTATTTTGTTTAATTCCGGCATGTGTGTGACTGCCGACACTCGAAGATGGACTACTATTATTATTAGCAGAATTTTCACAACCTTTCATATTAGCCGTCAATCGCCAACTGCTATTTCGTCCACGCACGTTTTGTGAAACGTGTTTAAACGAGGAATTTTCAGGCATTAGATTGCTGCTCGGAGTCTGGTGTTAATCGTTCGGCGCTCAAACTGTGAATATTAGTTTAGCACGCGATCATTAGGTTTGATCTCTAACGACCGCGTGCCAAATAATGTTGTTAGTACCTAACCTCGTTTGTCCTTATTAATAAAGTCGAATTTGGAATCTTAAGTACATTTTATAATCGACTTTGTTCCTTAGTAACAAAGTCTAATATAGGAATCTGTTTATCATGTACTTAATATCGCACATCCGATTTCGTTAACTACTTATGTGGATTTTTTAAAAGTGAAAATGGAATAGTCACCCCACCTGGGCTATCGATATACGCTGCTGGGGCACCAGTGATTGACGACAGATGAGGATGAAAGCAGGCCAGTGTGATAGTGATGAATACAACAGGAATCAATGAAAATTATTTCCGGCGGAGCCGCGTCAATGTCGACCTGATAGTATCTGTTAACTAGATTAAGTCAATTTATTACTTACTGTGTTTAGGTTGTAGCAATCCTTTACTCAAGTATCAATAAATTTGCATAGTGAATTAAATATATAATAAAATTACAATTAAAATGAAGAAAAATAATTGATAGTGTTCGTAAAATTTTATGACTATTTGGAACATAAGTAATGTCTATGTACATAAAAAGAAATAAAATAATATATCTTTGCCAAAAAAATTTACATCGATGATTTATTCATTTGCCATACTCGAGAACGATTACTACTCGCATATTGTATTCGTTCTTATTGGATTATTCTAGATTATTACTTAAAATTCCTTAACTATATTGTCCAATTATTAAAAAATAATATACAAACTGTCGATTTTGAGAATCGTGAGAGTGAATTTGTCGAATAAACGAAAAATAATAGAAGTACCTATAGTACCGATTTGAATACAGATTGTATCGTTTCGATATATCGATTTATAATAACAATGTAACATCACTAATTCTCCATTTCAATATAGAACAATAAATATTTTCCATTGATACCTATAATAAATGGTTGTGGTATAGCTTAATTAAGTAATACCCTGTCCGCCATATTGAAATCGTAAAGCGAACAGTGGAAAGCCATCTAGCAATAAAGGCTATGTAATAAAACGTAGATATCAGTTGCCGCTTGTCGCAGTGCAGTGCGACGTCCGTATTTAGTATTCTATATCCATTGTCTTGTAAACTTTTTAAATATTACGTAATGAGATTGGTACGCTCTAATTTTTCTTTTATAGCCCATTAAAATACAGAAATAATAGGATTATATATCACAGAATATTATTCTATTCATAATCATCATCATCAGCAGTTAACTGTCCACTGCTGAACATAAGCCTCCCCCAAAAGAAGGGTTTTCCCAATAGTCGCCATGCTTGACAAACGGGTTGGCAACCGCAGTTAGGCTTTGGTGATACTTTAAAAGGGACGCTGCTGCCCATCCGTCGACTATAAAGTTCCCTTAATCTTCTCTAACGACACCCATGGGAAAGGAAGGGGTGGCCTATTCTATGTCGGGATCACGTGGCTTTATTATCTTATTTATTTTACTAAGACCACCAAAACTTAATGATAAGTGTTCATTTAGTTTTGATGTTCATTAAACAAACTCTTTTTCATATAATTTATAAAATCATTAAGAATTTAAATGAGAAAAATACGCAACACGGCACGGAACATCTATCGATGTCTATAAATCATGTAAGTACTTTTTGTCATATTTCAATATGTTATGTTGAGAATTTTATATATTTATTAAAGTGCCTATCTAAATAAATAAGATCTCACACAATAAACTCAAGCGTTCCCTGTAAATGTTAAGTGGCAGCAGAAAAACGAGTACTGCAATACCGCATACGAGGCTAAAAGCGTGACGAACTGTGTCCAAGTGTCCATACACCGTTGAATAGGTTTTTTATTGTCTACACGGTTCTCTCAGCGCACAAAGGGAAGTCATAAAAGCCCTAAGTGTCCACGATGCGACCTTCTGTGCCGCGCTTTACGGTCGCTAGTGACGTGCCGCATCGATTATGTTTCTAATCCTTGTTTATGGTACTTGATAGTGTTTCATGATCGTGATTCATGATTTTTATCGATACTTATCATGAAAAGAAGCTATAAATCTGCAAACCTTCACTTTATTTAAATAGCAAGTTTAGGCATTAAGTAGTGCAATTAATATAATCGATTGACTAATTGCTATGACAATGAATGTTCTTTTGAGAATAAAAGGGCGTCTAATTAATCCAACAAATGCCAGTGTAACCATAATCATATTAAAATTACATAAAACAATCTTGCTATTAATTATTATTATTTATTAAAAATAATTATAACATTATAACAGCAAAAGCCAAATCAATGTTATAAATCTAGTGTGCTAACATACAAAGTTATAATAAATGTATTAAAATAACCTTGTCGAGGTTTTTTCAAGAGACTACAACATGGGGTTCTTCAAAAAAGAGGTAAAGAGGTTTCTTTAGAGGTGTGTATGTTTATTGGCCATCTCAGTGATATAAAAAAAAATCACTTTCTCTTACAGGTACTAACAATCCATTTCTCCCCAACGGAAATTAATTATTAGTAAACCTATCGGATATTGATCTGGTAGATTAAGATCACCATCGTGTTCACTTGGTCTCTTTAGAAACCATCGTGGTCAACTCGTTACAATAAACTATTTAACCAGATTTCGTCTTCACCTGTCATCCCTCATGGAAAGGGATTATTAGTAATGCAGACTGCCAGTTCTATTGTTAGAAATATATCCTGTCAGGTTGAGTTTCCCGCGAACCCACCTAGAAACCATCGTGTCCTATTCCAAGTGAATTCATCATGATATAGCCTATCACTAATCTGCCATTTCATTTACACCTATTATCACTCACTGGCGCCCCGCCAGTATATATCATTAGCGCAGGTGGGGTTTCTATTCCATTATCATCCATCATTGGTAATGTCTACTATTGTAAACCTGTTTGGGGAAAGGGGTTGTTAGTAATGAGATTTAACAGCCCCATTGCTAGTAATACATCTTATCAGGTCGACCTCCATGCGGTACCCCCTGGAAACCGTAGTAGTTAATTCTTGTTCAATTAATCACTGTGGGCCAACTGACTTGCCTTCATCCTCACCTATCACCTTTCGCTGATACCAGGCCAGCGTATACCAATAGCGCAGGCGGGGTTATCATTCCATCTTCACCCATTAAAAAAATCGTAAACCTGTTGGTTGCGCAAGCTCATTCTATTTTTATCACTTCAGAAAAAATGCCTTGCTTAAATAATGTCTAGACTAGGACTAGACAGTGTATTATTATTTTAATTTATTACCAAAGACTAGACGATCATAAATAAATTTGAATAATTTATTTACATAACGTTTTAATTTTCTCTGAATCGATACAGCTTTTAACCTTAACCCATTCACCGTGTTACAAAGAAATGTATGTTTATAGTAACTTACCAACTGTTATAATAACAAACACTGTACGCAAATGTAAATAAAGTGTCAGGTAACACTGAGACGTTAAATATTTACTAAACTGTTCAGTTAGAAGATATTAGTGACTGTTATACAGTTGTACGTTAAAGGTCATAATCATATTACCATAAAGGTTATCGATCTGAAAAGATTTGATAAAAAAAAAAGTAAAAAAGAGAAAATGATTCTAAATGTAGCCATGGGTAATATGGATACAAAACCGATATTGGGTTGTTCAGTACATTGATAGTGGGAAAAATGTTATATTCCGATATCTTCCGTCAAATCCAATATTATTTTTTGGGTAACTTTTAATATATTCGTTATTGGATCAGTATATATAGATATTGTAACTAAAATATATAGATATTGCTGTATGTTACCCATCCCTACTTAAAAGTATTTAAGTCTACTTTAGACAAATTGAATATGGATTACATCTGCTAATAGTATGTAGTAGAAGTACATGAGTAAAAGAGTTTTAATATTAATCTGGCTGAGATGGGTTCAGAGTATCTTGCATATTTTGACTTCTGAAGTCTGTGAAGTTTTGGGTGATCCTTTTTTGATATTATTATTAGTAAATTAGTTTGTTATTGTTGTAAAAAAAATTGTGAATAATTTTATTAAACATTACACATAGATATTTACACAAATTATGTCAGATTTATTTCTAATAATGTGATAGGACTTAGTCATCAAATTAAGATACTGCATAAACGAAGATTTTTTAAAAAAAATGCCTTCAATATTGACCAACTTAATACAGGACAAATACAGTGCGTAACCGATTTTGATTAGAGAAATAATAAAACGAAACACTTTACGGCTAGTGGAGATATCATATATATTAAAGTAATTAAATTTTAATTTCTACAAGAAAAAAATCACCGAAATTAAGAAAATAAAAGGAATATAATATTTAGATGACGTAGAGAAATTTCCTTACATCTTACGCTCCATCCACTTTCATAATTTGTCCTATAGCATCTGGATATATTTGTACTAAAGATTTTCATTTCTTTCAGCGGTCTCCCTCGAAACGTTAGTGGAAAACTGTCACAAACTCTTGGAGAAGTTCCACTATTCATGGGAGATGATGCCCTTAGTACTCGTCATCCTGAACTATGCGGGAAGCGACTTGGACGAGGCGTCGAGGAAAATTGATGAAGGTATGTAAATATTTATTTTTTAACGAATCTATATAATTTTGCAAAACGAATGTTTTTTTAACTATAAATTTATTTAGCTGTTGCAAATTTTATTAGAAAAGTTGTTTGTATTTTATGTTTAAGCTATCTCTTATATTCTAAGAGATAGCCTTTTATTCTATTTATTTCAATGTATAAAAAACTATAGGATTCAAGACATCTGTTGGTTTTTATATACATCTGTAATTTTATAACTTTTCAATGTATTCACAAGCGTATTTAGAGTGGAATGGGGGCAGGTTGAGCCGTACCCACACATGAATTATAAGAGAGCTTTCAGTTATAAACAAAGATAGATCTGAGAGTACATGTGCGCCTTTTTTAAGAGATCAAACTCTCTTTAAATATGCCAATGAATATATTTAATACTAACAAAGAAAATAGCTAAGTTTTGAAATAATCGATTGCTGTATACTAGATTTGTCAGAGAATTGTGGTACTTTAAACGGGAGGAAAATTTAAAAAATGCTTCATATTTTAATACAGTTTAAATAACTCTATGTAATTTATTTATCTTGCTCTTAATAATTAAATTGTCTTATTTTTTGTGTATTTGTTACACAACATCTTCGCTAGCCGTGAAGTATTTTGGTTGATTATTTCTCTAAGCGAAACGGTTTACGCACTGTGTTCGTCCCATACTAAATTGGTCAATATTGACCAATTTATTTTTGGAAAAACCTTCGTTTATGAAGTATCATAATTATATGGCTAATTCTATTACATTAATAAAAATAAATCTGACATAATTTGTAATAAATGTTTAATAAATGTTATCACAAAATTTTTAACAACAATATTATTTTCACATGAATTAATATGTTGAATATTTTTTTAGTCGTCTAATGTTATGTCAGATATGTAAAAAATTCAAGCTGTAATCGATTGTTTTAATTTATTGTCTACCGGTTCCTCATATTGATTACCATTACATAAGCAAGATTCAAACGGGTTTTACTCGCATATTATTCTATATTATTTTCAAATGTTTTATACAATTTATATTTTATTTTTAAACAATAGAATCCTCTTATTCATTAAAAATTAAATATTTCTTACAAACCTATTTTAACTATTATTTAACATTTATTATTATTTGGGTTATATTTTTATAAATGACTTAAAATGCTTATAATTGTGTTTACTTGGTTAATTTTTTTTTAATTAGTATGTTTTCTTACTTTTATTTTAAATTGAGAATTTAACGCAAAAGAAACAGATATTTAAATAGTTAAAAAAGGTTCTATGAAACGTTTGACGTGTTTTTTGTTCTTTCAATTGTATGGTGAGTTTTCAATACTTTCTGTTCTTCAGATTAGATTCTAATAGTCCAATAATATAGATGATTAATAAAATAATTATATGAAATTTACAATCATGCGAGTAGAACTTACGTCTTGTTTACGTCAATGTTTAATTTACATATTTTTAATTCGTGAAAACTTAAGTGGCTTCTTAGGTTTTAACGAATTACAGACATGGATGGTCTTATTATAAAAGGATCAATTTTCGATAAACATATGTTTAGTACATTTTTGAACATCTGGCTTAAATTAAATAGGATTAAATTTTACTTAAATAGAACTGTTATAATCTGTTTATCTCTAAATAAAAGATTACCTCTATTATTAAAAAAAAGTATTTAAAGTAAGTAAATTTCATTATAATCTGTAAATTTTGACACATAAATTTATAAATAAATGTAGTTACACTGACTAAACTGTACTTAATCATATAGACAGAGTTTTGTTAAACACTGTTTTAAATTTTTTTTGTAGTAAGATCGTTAATGTCTACCCGACTATGTTATTTATTGTAATTATTTATAAATGATTAATGAAAATCTTTTGTTAATTTTAATTGAGTATTAATTGTTATTTACAATTTTTACTTTTAGTGTTGTGTATAAAAAAAAATTAGTTTTAAAATATGTATTATTAGCATTGTATCAGATAAAAAATAACGCAATTTTACTAAATCTTTAATAAAAAAAAAAAGAACTTTTTATAAAGTAATTCGATAGTCGTCTACGATACGACTTATGATTAGTTGGGTGCAAGTTGATCAGTTGAGTTCATGTGACACATTCTCCACTTGCACCCAACTCGTCCATCTATATACCAGTTTGTAGGAATCGAATTCTTCGACTGTACTGATTATTTATCAAATAATTTCATTCGTAGATGAATGTAATCAATATTTTTTAGAAAATTAACTTAACGTCTGTCGTATTGGTTTACAAATATATAGAAAAAGAACGAATTAACAAGAGATATTCATTACCTAATTTTATAAAAGAAATAAGGAAATGTAGTTATAACTGGAATACGACTAAATTTATAAATCCCTATCGATCACAACTTGTTAAATATTACTTACTATTGGTGAAATATTGTTGTTGAAAATCTGTTGTTAAAAAAAAAGTTGTTGTTTTAATTATAAATCAAGTTGTGATTGAAGCTGTTATGTAGTAATTCTTATAAATATTGTACGTTCTATTAAACGTTAGAGCCTGAATTTCTAAAATTAATATTTTTTTTGTTTTTTTTTTTTTATGTATTTTTTGATTTTCAGCGTCCGGGTAACATTATTATAACAAAAAATAAATTTTAAAATGTTCCAGTTGAGTTTTAAACTGTAGCTACATATTTGGCAACACTAATTTAAACGGAGTACAAAAAAATTTTTCGCATTTCTCATTATTATATCAGCTATCAACTATCTACTGTTGAACATAAACCTTCCCCTTGGGGGGGTTTTGCCAGTAGTTGTCACGCTTGACAGGCGGATTGGCAACCGCAGTTAGGCTTTTGGTGATGTTTTAAGAGAATAGAATAGAATAGAATAGAAAATCATTTATTCAAATAAACTTACATTGAAGCACTTTTGAATTGTCATTACATTTTTTTTAATCTACCGCTCGTTCGGAAAGCTGTCTCATCACAAGAAGAACGAGCAAGAAACTTGCGTGTTGCTCTTTTAAATAATTTTATTATTACTTTACATTTTTAAGTTTAAGTGTGTGAATACAAACCACCAATTAGCACTAATTCAATTAAATACTCAAAAAGAAAAAAATATTGAATACATAACCAACTGGTTAAACAATTAATAAGAGGAAATCAGTCATAGTGATTAGAGCAGACCAGTCCCTACAAGCAGCACCCGTTCACGAGTATGACGGATGAGCCAGCCATCACTGCGCTCGACCATATTTTAGGGAGCCCAATGACCCGGCCCACCACGCCGCCACAAGTCTGGACATTTTAGTGAGCATGACTACTCAAAACACTAGACCACGTCAAAGCTACTCACAATTGCCATCTGATAGTTATAGTATTCACATTTTACATAAGAATGCATGCGGCAATTAATACAAAAACCGCTACGCTTTCATATTTCTAAAATCAATCAATTAAATCAAGTAAGCAATGAGAAAATAAAATTATAACGTTGTATGCTAATAAACTAATTATTTACTTGATATGTTGTCATCTATGAATTCGTCTATCCTGTAATAGGCTTTCTTACATAAAAATTGTTTAATATAAGATTTGAATTGCCTCTTTGTCAGATTTAATGCAGATTCTGGCAGTTTATTATAAAATCTTATGCAATTACCATAGAATGAATTACTGATTTTGTGCAGACGGCATTTAGGTAAAATAAGCTTATTTATATTGCGTAAGTTTCTACTTGTACAGTCTTTGAGTTTTTTAAAACTCTCTAAGTTCTTCCGTGTACGAGTATACATAATATTTTCATAAATGTATTGTGAAGTAACTGTGAGGATATTTGAGTCTTTAAAGCGCTGACGCAATGACTCTCTTGAACCCATACCATAAATAGAACGTATGGCTCTCTTTTGTAAAACAAATATAGTATTTATATCGGCTGCTTTACCCCATAGCAGTATGCCATAAGACATTATGCTATGGAAATAACTAAAATATACAAGTTTAGCCGTCGCCACGTCTGTTAATTGCCTAATTCTTCTAATTGCATATGCAGCAGAACTGAGTCTACTGGCCAATTTTGAAATATGGGGCCCCCATTGTAATTTCGAGTCCACTGTTATACCTAAAAAAACTGTATCATTAACAAAATTTACTATTTCGTCATTAAGCAATAACTGTGTATTTAGTCTTACATTAGGAAGTGTAAATTTTATACACTTTGTTTTGCTGGAATTTAATAATAGGTTATTACATGTAAACCAATTTAATATTGCAGACATAGCACAATTTACATCGTCTAATTGATTACTTTGACGTCCAATTTTAAACACTAACGAAGTATCATCCGCAAACAGCACTATATCTGCAATTTTCTCTACCATAAAGGGAAGGTCATTTATGTAGATTAAAAAGAGAAAGGGGCCTAAGATTGACCCTTGTGGAACGCCCATCTTAATATTAGCTCCCTTAGATTTTACACCGTCAATATCTACAGTTTGAACCCTATCCTCTAAATAAGTTCTCATTAATTTTAGATCATTATCTCTTATACCATAATGTTCGAGCTTATACAAAAGCGTTTTATGATCCACACAATCAAATGCCTTTGATAGGTCACAAAAAACTCCGAGTGCATCCTGTGACCTCTCCCAAGATTCGAAAATATGTGTCATTAGCGCAACACCTGCGTCAGTGGTAGACTTGCCGGCGAGAGACGCTGCTTCTCATCCTTCGGCCCTTAAGTTCCTTTAGTTGCCTATCGCAAGATACCCACACGAAAGGAACGGGTGGCCCCTTCTATGCCGGGGCCACAGGGCATATGAAACTCAAATTTATTTCGTTGAATATGTGAAACCATAAATACATATTACAAAATGACAATTAATATAAATTGTCAAGTATTTTTTACATAAATCAACATATTTACATACTCAGGTTCCTCAAATTTAGTATGTTTCTTCCATCATATAAATTTCTGATTTTCTAGAGTGATCAAATATATAATTTTTATTTTTTCTTCTGCATTCTCAATTAGACTTAGAGATACATAATTGTCGGTATGATCACCAGATTTTGAAACGTATTTTTTTTTAATTTGCTCTTTAATATTTTAGTATTAATAATTTTATAGTATGGTGATATCTACAAACCAGTACTTAAAAATACGTATTGAACTATTTAAATAAATTTCTTTGATATCATGTATATATGTTATAACATTGGATCATATTAATATATTAAATATTTATAGGCCAATGACAGAGATTCAAAAAATGCAAAGAAATTAAAACGAAAGAAGAATCAGTAACCTTGAAATTACAAATGAAAGAGTTCATTTGTAAGTTTTTTTTATCTTTTTTACTTATGGACAGATCTGTTTCTTTACATTCGTTTTCAATTAAAATTAAGAGAAAATAGTATCATGTTCATAATGAGTAATGATACGTAACTATCACTAAATATTCAAGTAAACTCACAATTTGTATGACGTTAAATTAAAAGGAATATAAAAAAAAAGTTTTAGGGAAAAATGTAGGTACTTGTAATAGCTCAGTGTTGTCATGTGGCAACAGGCATAAAGACCTTCCTAATATCAAATATATTTATGGAACTAAAACTCATTGTATGTTATTATAAACCTTAAGATATGTATGAATACATACTATATAAAGAAACAACGAGTTACACATAATAAAAATAAATGGAACTTTTTCGATTGACTTTTTTGTGAAATTTATGACAATAACTACCGGTTTAACTTACGTGTAATTAGATCGAAAGCAGGCGCGTATTTAGCCTCGCGCTCACGTCACAGCTGCTCATGATTAAGAATCACGAATCGATTCCGAAACTAGTCGAGCTTTCTCACTCTAATTACACGTGAGTTAAACCGGTAGTTATTACATTAAAATATAATATATGCTTGCAAATCTTTTAATAATGAAATATATGACAATAAATGTCAAATAAAATCATTGTTACTGTCAAACTTGATTGTTTTTTTTTTATATAAGAACTTGTAAATCAAAACAAGTATAGCGTTGCTATATGATAACTTCAGGCTCTAATGGGTAATATGCATTATTTCTATATTTCTGCTGTGCGAATTTATTTTTCTGTTATGTGAATTGTTGTCCACAGGCAAAATGATCATCAACGAGTACGCCAGGAAACACAACCTTAACATCTTCGACGGTCTCGAATTAAGGAACTCGACTCGCCAGTACGGACTTTAATAGTAATATAGTTTTTCCAAAACACAAACACACACATATAAAACACACACACACACACACACATTTTTTAAAACTAAACTGACACATTAACACAGTTTCCTATATTTTTTTACACATACATACAAACATCATTATGATCGCAATTATTATAATAAAGTATTGGAAAAACTAGTAAAATAGTTTTCCAAAACAAATAAATATGTTTGTTTGCGTATTTGCTTTCTTTTCTATGAACCGTATATTTTTATTTCTCATACATCCATATTCAGTTACTGTTCTGTTACTGATATGTTCGGAAAACTAATAATACCTACAGTTTTTTCAAAACACGAAATACACAGATAAACCTTAATCTTTTCCTCCTGCCCTTTTCCCATATTCTTCCATTCATCTCTATTTGCAGTCACTCATTTCATAAATTAATTAATATTCTAATATATATTACTAATACATTATTTATTTATTTGCTTACTTATTTGTCATTAGCATCATCCAGTGTTGCCAGATTGGGTATGATTTCGCAAATTTGGGTAAAAAATTTGTGTTCGCGAAATTTTTGAGAAATGTTTTGGAGAAATTTGAGTTTATTTTTAATTACTTTTTATATTTGTAAACTGTAATATAATATATGAATATAATAAAATTTACAAATGAAGACAAAACAGGGTAAGAGAAGTTAAGCTGTTAAGCGTAGGGCCTGGGAGTTTTATCTTTTTTCAGACGACTTCAAAAGGAAGTTTTTAATTTGGTAGTACGTTTTTTATGTTTGTTATCTCATTATCCCGTCAATTATAAATCAATTTGGAAAAATCTTTTTTTATTTGAAAGGATATACTTACCGGCTGGTCCCATAGAAATTTTATCAAAGTTGGTTCAGTAGTTTTGTTTTGAAATAAAAATAACTTGATTTATCACAATTAAAGTCGGTTTTTTTTAACTAAATCTTATTTTCGTCGTTTATATTATGGCATATAACAAATAGTGAAAATCGATACTTTATGATTGCGTAAAAGGGAAGAAAACTCTATCAATATAATAGACAAAACATTTGGCATTCGGGTGAAATTCTAAAATAGCACCTGGCAATCCTGTTATTTTCATTTCTGTAAGAACCTATTAATGCCCCTTTTTCGAGAATATACCCATTCACGCATGTTAGAATTAAAAAAATAATTAACTACATATTGATATAGGCTTTACTATACCTACATATACATATATAAATACAGAAAAGTAAGCACACTTACGGAACTGAATTTGTAATACTAAATCTGTTTTGTTGTTAAAAAAAAAGGTTAACAGCACTCCTGCGATGTCTCTGATGTTACGGATGCTCATGGGCGGCGGTAGTCACTTCCCATTAGGGGAACCGTACGCTCGTTTGCTCCCTGAGTTATAAAAAAGAAAAACATTTTTTTTGCTAAGAGAAACAAACTCACTTTTTCTTTATAAATAAAGTATATATAGATAAGTATAAATCGTTGTACATGTTTACGAGTATCTTCTTATTCTTACTTATTCCACATTATGCGACAGATCTTGATTTATCAGATTTTTTTTACTGGCATTTAGATATATTTTACGTAAGTTAGCATTTTCCATTTAGTACCTATGCGATGTAGGGTTTAGGCATGTAGTAAAATACAAAATGATATAGTTAGGATAAATAGTTTTCTTTTTTAATGATAAATAACATTATGTTTTAACTAAATATGGTATCTGAACAATTTTTGTTTGTACTACATTTCATCTCGTCAGACAACTTGAAACGTAATCGAACAGCGCAATCTCAGTGCATTTGTCTCCGTCGCAGAGTAAGAAATACGTAATTTGTAACCCGTCAACCATCCGCAGTCAGGTTCGTTGAGAGGTTATTTATTTTCTTAGAGCAATTAGTATTACAAAACAAAGTTATATTAAACTTGCCGACTCGACAGATGTCGGTATTCTTTTCACAAAAGAAAGCGCAAAGGGTTCTGCCCATACAGCTCATATCTATCGTAATGATTCTTTCAAATTATTCAGTTTTCTTGGATTCAGATATTTTGAAATTATATACTCGTAAAGAGGTAAATGTCCTTGGGTCTTTCAAAAGTTCTTAAAGCGCGCGCGGCTTATACTGTTCACTTTTGTAAATTGCAAATAATCGATGTAAAAAGACGCGATTGATATTAATCTTTGAATTGCAACTAGGAACAATTTATATGGGAAAAATAAAAATAGGGTTTTCACGTTTCTCCGGCAATTTTTTATTTTTCTTTTCACATTACTCTTTTCATAGAAATTTCCTTCGGACATACGATTATTTGAAAAAAGACTGCTGTATCGGTCCAGTTGTTATCAAGTTTTATGCTTAGCAACATATTTAGAGATTAATTTGCAACCAACTTCAAAAAAGAAGGAGGTACTCATTCGGTTGTATTATATATCATTATTTATGAACTGATTTGGAAAATCTTATTTTATTTGAAAGCATATATTTTTAGATATTCGAATATAGTTAATTAATTATTCATATATATTAATTATATACAAAATTAAATATATTATATATAAAAATATAATCTATCTAATATATACACACCTTACATCTCATTGTTATATTGATTCTATGGAAATTTTATAAAAATCCGTTCAGTAGTGTTGTTTTCAAATCAAAAAACTAGTTTTCCAAATGGAATGATTAAAGTTTTTTTTTTTGTGCAACAAAATCTTTGAAGTCTGATTCACAAAGTTTCTATCCTAATATATTTAATTTTATGTAGATATCACTAACAATATCGATTTCGCCATGTATATAAATATGGTAATATTGTGTTCGTCCCTCTTGCACAATGATTAATGTCCGCTGTCAAACTGGCTCGCAAAACCGCTTACTGTCGCTGCGTGCGTACGCGCATCTCTTTTGTTGTTTGCAAGTACGTCTGGCTACCAGCCAATATCGTCTGAAGTAGACCATTGTAGCTTTAGCATGCCACCTATGCACTGTTTTTTTTTTGGTTTTCTTATTTTTTTTCAATCAATCAATTATTTATTTGTATAAACATAGATATGTTATAAATTCGATGTTGTAGAACATGTAATGCGCTATGTATTTATTTATTTATTATTTATTTTCTACAAAGTAGTGTTACTTGATTATGTAGGTCTTCTAATGATTTTTTGTTTTATTTTTGAATGAACCAACCTAACTGGAAAGTGGTAGCCATCGCCTATGGATATGAACAGTATTATGGACATCACAGTATATACTGTGTTTACTGAATATCTATGTTTTGGACAAAGTAATTAATTGGACATTATACAAAATGACCAATGAAATTAATGTGATAATAACTATTGAAATTATTAAAAATCCCGGACATTATATATAATGTCTGGCACCTACTGTGTACAGTAATAAAAGACATTAATTTTGATATTAAATAAAAAAAAAATAACTAATAACATAAAGTTTCTTTATCCTTATGATTATGCTGCATCCTATGATTATAAGACTTTAAATTAATAAAACATTAGCAATAAATTGTACTTATTAGGAGGGGAGTTCTATACTTAGAATTTACTAGTTTTTAGCAGTTGAAACTTAATAAAATCAAATAAAAATATATCTTCGTTTCACGAATACTCAGATAATGAAACGGAAATGAGTATAAGTAGTATATTAATTATCATATTTGTTTATTACTAGCTTTTACATGCGACTCTGTCCGACTATCCGGGATATGTTTATTGATCAGGATAAGAAGTAACTTATAATATTCTTCTCCATCCTTTATAGTAAGTGTGTACTAATAGTATACTAATAATATACTAATACATAGCCTATAATATTCTTCTCCATCCTTTATAGTAAGTGTGTACTAATAGTATACTAATATTTAGCCTATAATATTCTTCACCATCCTTTATAGTAAGTGTGTACTAATAGTATACTAATATATAGCCTATAATATTCTTCTCCATCCTTTATAGTAAGTGTATACTAATAATATACTAATATATACTGAATAGGCATAGAATACTAGAGACAAACTTTAAACTTTAGTGGTAAACTTGTCGAACTTATTCTATGATTAATTACTATACTAGCACTATGAAACCCTATTTTTATAAAATTTTTAATTCAAATAATTCTTATTCATTTAAACTTGTTTACAAGAATCTTCTTTTTAAATCTATTGCAGGGTTCGGAAAGTTATCTATCTAGTTTTAACTTATTGTATAGTATTCAGATATTATTGAACTTTTTTTTTTCAATGTTGACAGGTATGCAACTAGTAAGTCGCATAGTAATATATAATTTTAATGTAATTAAGTAATATTGTAATTAATAATTAAATAGCATACCACAATTTGTTCTCGGCGGATGCTTACAATTACGTTCTCTTATCAATTTAACCACAAGGGAACTAATTCACATTAAATAACATGCTTCAAGTGTATAATGCTGCATTTGGGGCTATGAAACGAACGAAAGCTTAATCCTTATAAATATAATAATTGCGAATGTTTATCTGTTATTTCGTAGTTCTATAGTAGTTCCGTTAATCATCACGAAATTTGGTATACTCGAACATGTAGGATTTGCGGTAGAAAACCAGACTTACCAGAGGGAGACTTTGTAATAAAGTCGATTGCTTGGGTACCTCTGTCCCATTCGTGTTTCAACCGTGAAGCAGCTGTGTTTGCATGGCTGTGTTTCGGTTTAAAGGGTGGGATATGGCGTGAATTTACTGGGTACAGAGGAATAACACCTGAGTCCTCAGGAATAGCAACGCATGGGGGTATCATGGGTGAAACAGTATACTCTGTTATGTCCATGGTACTGCTCATGTCTATAGACGACGGTTACCACTTTCTATCAGGTGGACCGTCAGCTTGTTTGCCATTCTAAGTTGTATAAAAAAAAAAGATACTGTAAAATATGTTTATAAAGATTAAAATTATTGATAATGAACAAAAAAAAAGTAAACAGCAAATTACAATAATTACGAAAGTGCAAATTGTAATTAATTAGTTCTCTCCCTTTAACGGCGATACATTTTTAGAGCGTAATTTTTTTAATAGATTTTGTCATTCGTGTACATTCAAAGAATCTGTACTTATTTCCTTTGCTGTAGATCTTCTGTTATTAGAATTTAAAATCAAAATATAATACGGTACTCTCGTTATTATAATATATACCGCGAAATCCATCAAACAAACCCGTTTTTCTGATTTATTGTGAAGTTTCTCGCAGACAATTTTGCTTTTTGTATCAATTGTGTTAATGCTGACATTTCTAAATATGGTGCTAGACTAGCATTGAATGCAATATCTTTGTTGCAGTTTATAAAAATTAAAATGTTATATATGTGTTGTTATATTGTTTTCTTGTAATCGTGTGTACCAATTATGAGCCTATCCAAACGCTGATTTAAGAGCCCGCGCTATTCTTTTTCTTTTGTTCAGATAATAATATTGAACACTTTTTTTGTATTTACAACCGATTTCAAAATTGTATTTTTGTATTTTTTTTTATGTTTCTTTTTACATAAGTTTGTCAATTATAAATTTATTTGGAAAATTGTTTTTTTATCAGTAAGGATATACTTTCAGATTGGTGCCATAGAAATTTTATCAACATTAGTTTAATAGATTACTTTTTAAATAAAGGTTTTTCTTGGAAAACAATTATTATATATAAAAAGTATTGCAATTTACCAAAAAGTGACGGTAGGTATATATTTTTGTTTATTAATTTATACATTGTAGCCAACGATGTGTATATTAGAAACAACAAGAACTACGGTCTATACTTATCATATAATTATTCAGGTATATATAAATATTATATATAAATATATATATATATATATATATATATATATATATATATATATATATATATATATATATATATATATTTAAAAGAAATACTTAATAATTGTTTTTTATTTGTTAATATAATTATCACTATTATCCTTATATTAGTCACACTTTTGTAAATGTAATAATATGTTTAAATTTTCTTAATTTAATTAATGATTACAGGCCAGTTTTTGTTGCCATAGTATATTTATACGGTTCTTATAATAATGTTGCAAATTCAGTTTCTCATTTCATTTACAAATAACACTGTACACTCACACACAAACGTAACAAAAGTGCTTACACACAAAACAATATTCACACATATCGATAAAAGTGGTCAACTCAGCGAATCAATCGAATCAACACTGTTTAACCAGTCGTGATTTCCACTTTGCAGTGACCGGACGAAGGTGGAGAAATTCGAAATATAAAAAAAGAGCATAATAATGTCAGTGACGTTCGAAATATTAATTTCGATGAGTCGAGTTGAAACGCGCGGCCGTTATAGTGATGTGCTAGTGTGTGTTATCGATATTATTTTATTTAGCGTTATTTTCTTTTTTGTAGGAAAATGCTGCAAAGCGAAATTAATAATATAAGTGGTGTACTGTCATCATCAATGAAGTTGTTTTGCGAATGATACTTTGTTTTACAAGTGCGTTGTTTTGTGTGGACACGTGCTGTGCGCCGTAGTGTGTTGCGAATACCGTCGGACAATACTGCGCTTGCTACACCGGACAATTAGGTAAGTTTTCCTTTAGTTACTATATAACTATACTGTATTATACGATACATTTACCGCTACAGACTTTACAAAAAGATATTTACAAAAAAGTTTAAATTGTTAAATTGTTGTTTTTGGAGATTAAACCAAAAAGGTTTTGAAAAGTTTAAATGTTTTCTTGTATCGTATAATCATGTTATTAAATACTACATAATGAAAGTAATAGTTTGTAAAAAGACCTATAACCGTCATTTTTATGTAGGTATATTAAATATACTTACTTAATATTATTTAGCATTGCGATTGTACTATTTTATAAGTTTTTACGGATTTAACGGATGAATTTTATTATACATGCATTCATTTGACATTATTAGCATATAAAATTTATATACGTCGTAAATTTCCAAGGTTAAATTGTAACTATAAAATTTAACTATGTACACGTTATTTTACTTTTTACGATGTTGAAATATATTCGTTTAAACTACGGATCAAGATTAGACTTTAACCAAGTAATATTGTTAACTTAAAAAAATCGAAGTGTTTGTTTTTTTTTTAATTTAAAACTCGACTGCTTAAAATATTTAATAGCGATTTATAAAAATAGAAATGTAACTTAAAATTATTCTATCGTTAAAAACATATTATGAACAGCACTATTTCTGTTTTCTTATTATTATCTATTTAGTTTCAAGCATTTAAAGATATTGCTAGCCGTAGATCAACCGACCTGTTATCTATCATAACATATTCATAACAGTTTTGACAAGTTAGTGTTAATATATAGATTTGAAAACAGTTTAGCAGTAGGTTCAGAATAGATATACCCACTTATTCATAAATAGATAGATAGATAGATACTCTTTATTGTTTCCTCCAAAAGATTACAATAGTAAACTTATTATAAGTATAAACAAATACTAAAATCTTCTACAAATCTATTTTAACTATTACACTGTTTTGTTACTTTATTTCAAATTACAAATTTAGCGCAAGAGAGAGAGAGAGAAGATAGTTCAATAGCTAAAATAGGTTTATGAGAGGGTTGACTTTTTATGAATTAGGCGAATAGAGTTTCAACGTCAGTCAGGAACGGAATATGTCAGAATGACAGATCAGTTACATAGAGAAGTGACACAAGAATCTATTGATAGACACGTTTGCCTTAGCGCGCATATAGGAGTAAACAAGACGCTACATATAATTGTCGTGCTCTGTCTTACGCATAATGTATCTATAGCGATAACATATCTATCGGCGGATACATGAAATAATAGTGAAAATATTACTTTAATTTACATTACGTAATTCATATAATTTCTTTGACAATTTCACATGTAATGTAAATCCCTATTTGTAACCTCTAATGTCGATAACCGTTGCTTTTGCATACACCAGTATAGTATTATATTATCTGTGGTGTCACTAATGAGTGCGTACTACTAGTTTCACGAAAGTAAAACAGTTCATACTCCACGTGACTTTTTTTAACTATTGTCATGACGACATCGTGTAAAAGTCGTGTAAAATCAATCCGCGAAATTTTCGTAGATGGCGGAACCATAATCTTATCGATAGATTATTTTTCCAACATTTTGGGTTATTGACACTAATTCAGGTAAATTATTATTTTTATACATGAAATTGGGTTCGTAATATAATTATATATCTCGTTCCTTTGTTGACACTTTTTCTGTTCGAGTTGGTAGGTACTTTATTTAAGATCAGATACATTTTGTTTGTTATTTAGTATTTATTGCGTTTTACGCATTAGAATTAATTATGCCCTTATTATCACTAATGTGGTCAAGTGGGTAAAACTACATTCTGATAAACAAACATTATTAGCTTAATTAAATTAAATTATAGGTAGGTTGAAATTATTAATTTGATGATAACAAAGATAACTGTGCATATAATGACATTAAGAGTTTATATTGTTTATTATAAATGTGGTTGCCTATAAATGCAAGAACGGTGAGATCTGAGCTGCCAGTGTATTGTATTAAAACTTAGCTTTATTGTAGCTGTATCTTATGTTGGTAATCCTGTAAATAAATAAATAAATAAATAACTTGTATATTTTACTACGCCAAGAAACAGTTATTTTTTTAATAATAAAAGATTGACTGAACATAAAAATATACAGCCATGGGCTTATAGTAATTTCAAAGTTAATTATATGTGTATAAAATGTAGCATTATGCCCAGCACATTAGTGTCTAAATAAGGCCTAGCCTGTATCTTAGACACTAAATCATTTCACAAAGAAGAGAAAGTTATTTCAATCATGAACAACGCAGTGTTTCATAGGCACATAATAGACACATACAATTTAAATATTTGAATTTAGAACATGGAATTCGTTGAACTGAACTGAATTGTCACAATATTGATATTTTTATTTTGTCTTTATTTGGTCTCCCAGCAATCGTTACACTGATAAAATGCAATATTAAGATTACTATCTTAATAGATATACATACATAGTTTACATTCATTTTAAGGGAAACACAGTATGCTAATTAATAAACAAACAATTATATACTTACTGTCGAGGTATTTAACATAGGTATAGTTTTTAAATTCAATAAATAATTACTTTACATAAATCAATTTTTTTTTATATTAAATTAATTATTATTGTTATATCAGCCGTTAACTGTCCTCTCCTTAACATAGGTCTTCCCCATAAGGAGAGTTTAGTCAGTGGTTGCCACACTTGGCAGGCGGGCTGACAACTGCAACTAGCTTTTAGTGATTTTTTAAAAGAGCTGCTCATCCCTCGACCATTAAGTTGATAAATCAGTACGGGAGTAAAGCCTACTGACTGCAAAAAAATACAAAATCGGTTCACAATTAGCAAAGATTTAGAGTAACTTATATATAAAATAAATTACAAGCGATTTGAGAACGTTCTATTTTTGAGTCGCTTGTAAATACCAAGCGAATTTAGGATACCCTCCTTTTAGAAGCCTCTTAAAATAAACAGAACAAACGGTTTCTTTTGTGTTAATTGCTTATATATTTATGTACTTGCACTATGGTTTTTAACTATGTAATATTATTGTATAGCTTTTGCTTTATTGTGTTTCATTGTTAAATGATCAACTTCGAAAAAATACGTGAACTTTATTAAATATATCAAGTATAAAAAACACAGATTAGTTATAGACAGAATGTTAATTATTTGAAACGTCTACATAAAACTGTAGGTACAAAAATATAAATAAATAAATGAAATCTATCAATATAAGTTGTGGTTTTATCACTGTTGCATTTGTATTATTATACTTTAGGAGCTGTGCTATAACCGCGAGCAGTTTACAGTTTTATAATATGCAATTAGGGATTGTAAAAATGTTAAATGGATCCCCGTAATGGCGTAAGTTGTAAAAGGCGCCCGTGTCGTAATGAGTGCCGTATAGAAATATTGTATTTATTCCCCCGATTCCGAGAAATGCAATAACATTTTTGCAATTATGTTATGGGTGTGTTTTATACGTGCCGTTCACTTGTTAGTGACTTGTTAACTTGCGGCCATCTTTGAATTATTTTCACTGTCAAAATTTTATTTATTCGATTTACAAAAATAGGCTTTCCGTTCGATGAGATGAGATACAATCGCGTAACATTGCCATAAGTTGTGTTACTTCTTTTTCTATTCTTTTATTTCTTTTTACTTTCGTGTGTATCTAGTCTTTTGTTATTTGTGTGTTGTAAGTTGTAATGTACATCACTACATATTATAAAAACAAAGTCCTCAATCGCGGCTGTCTGTCTGTCTGTCACGTGGACACCCCGTGACCCCGCGCTTCGCAAGAAATTTTTCTTAGTGGAACGTTTATGGGTCTCATATTGAAGAGTTTTTCATGTTGAGTATTTGTTAGAGTATATGTCTGTCGCCTGGATGTTGTAGATGGCGTTCTTGAAAGATGAAATGATAACCCGATGGTAGTACAAATTTGACACATTTATTTCACAACTTAATAGTACTATTTTTGGTCCATTTAGGTAGAAATTTGAGCAGAGAGAGGGCGCTATTGCCATTAAAAAAATAAATTAAAAGTATTGTTGCTAAATGATTATCGTTTATATTGTTATATAATTGTTTTTTTTTTTTTTTTTTTACTTCTTAACATGTTCAATAAGGCCGTTTTTATAGAGTTAGAATGTTGGATTTATAAATAGTGTTGGAAATCAAAGAGCATAAAGTCCTCCGAACACGATTGCACCATTTTTTCCTATTTTCACTGAAGCAATTTAAAGTCGAGCCATGCAAATATGGCAATAAAAGTTTCCGAGTTCATTTTCAATTACGGACAGTCGTCGTAAAAATTTAAAACGCGGTATCTGCCAATAGGATTCGTTCACAGCAGTGTTGCCATGCTGTGTGTTATAATTTCTTTTCTGGCTATTTCATAACCGCAAAACAGATTACCCGTATCCCCTATACGTTAGAAATCTATACTAGACCAACAGTAATATTTGTAACACGGTACACGGTTATGGTTCTTATTGAATAGCGATAAAGGTTATTTTTGATTGTACTAATGTAAGATTACATATTTTCATAGCGGTTTTTCGTTCACTTTTAAACAAAGTTGACTGCGGTAGGTCGCAGTAGCAAGATATTCTGTTATTTTGAATATTAGAATACTGAAAGGTAATTATTTATGTTGAAGTGTTAAAATTGAGCAAAAAATTTTTTTTTATTTTCATGTTTAGATTCGATTCGATTGTTAAGAGTATCAGGGGTTAATTGCACTAATCAGATATTGATTTAAAATAAATATTGAAACATATTAAAAGAAATATGATAGAGACAGAAATAAATGTTTTATTCGTTCTTTTTGCTCTGTAAAGTTCCAAAGTTACAAACAAAGAGAAAAAGTAAAGTTAGAAAATGAAGTTAGAACTTCCACGACGCTATTAATATTTTGCTCTCCATTATTGGATTCTAATTATTTTAAAAATAGCTGTTATCTACGACTTCGTCCACGTGATAGGGATATGTT